CCAAGCAGCGCGAAAGCGCTACTTGTATGCATTTGTTTCATATAATATATATGAGCGCACCGTCAGTTCTCCACAATGTTCAATATGTACTGGGTTTTCTTGACATAAAATCTCAACAGCACGATCGCGCTGCTTGGAACTCAAACGGTTAGGGTATAAAAAGTTATATGAGGGGACGCGATCGCAGGTAAATGGATGCTTCCTAATTTTTTTTGTCCGATTTGTTCCAGCCGAGCTGTTTTGGATGCTGCGTCACTAAAACAGCTATATCTCCGAAAATAATTTGAATTTTGAAAAATCCTCTTAAAGACATATTCTTAAAAGGTTAAGCTTTGAAAATATGAAAAAAAAAAATCGATTTTTTTCCTATTTCTAGACCAGAATACCCTCTTAAACCTTTTACTTCGTCTGATGTTAAATGTAAATAATAATGAATCTTATTTGTTCTTATCTTTATTTATAGCACGATATTACGGGAAGAGTACTTTTGAGGATAAATGAAAATATTTTACTAAGGCTTGGAATTGATAACGAACAACATAGAATGGATATATGGAGAGAGATTATGAAGCTGCATCTTAAGACTGACATGTTAGAAATAAGAGATATAGAGCGTCGTAACAATGTAAATTTTGACTGAAATAGGTATTTCTATTTAAATTTTATGATCTTATGAAATTTTCATATGTTGAATTTTTAATATGTATTTATTAATGATATAGTTTTTAAATTTTTAATAGGAGGTGTATATATATATATATATAATATATATAAAATAACTTATAGCATTGTTTGGTTGAGTTTCTAAATTGGATTTTTTTCAAATCTCTCTTAATTTTATTGATTTTATATTTTCTGTACATATTTATTGACTAGAAATATTTTAGAAATACTTTAGTAGTGTATCATTTATTTAATTTATATTTACGCTTATATTCTATCCACTTATTACAAGTACGAGTACAAGTATAATCTGATTCTCATTAATAATTTCAATATCACATAGAAATTGATTTACATTTTTGAAATCATTTATTAAAATCAATATTACCCTGTTTTCTTATCATTTTTACATCAAGATAATGAGTTTTGAAAAATGATAATTTACATTAATTTATTATACAATAAAAAAATAAAAAAAATTTTTTATTGTAAATGTAACTTGTGTCGCGCAATATCGGTATTATTATATACCTTGTATCTTTTATATAAAATATTTGGTTCAATTTAGATTAGGAAAAGCTATTTAATATATATAAAATATTAGCGAATCTATCTTACAGATGACTTATATTTTAAAATTTCAAATAAAACTTGTAAAGTTGAACTTGTAAAGTTGAACTTGTAAAGTAAAAAATAGTTTTACTTCCGCCTGGAATAATGAAAAGGAATGCTTTGTTGGATCATTTTTTTAAAAATATTTTTGTGACAAAGAAAATATCTTCAACTTCAAACATAATTATTTGACGAAGTTTATTGTAGATCCGTTTTATTCAGCTTTATGATAATATATATACCGAATGGAATTGATCATTTATTGTTCATTGTATTTATATTTGTCTTATATTAAAGACACAGTTCTTCTATTTCAATACTTTTCGTATGTTTGTGTCTGCCCGAAGAAAAGACGTAGAGTTGAGTTGCATTGTTCGGTGACCTTTGATCAGGATATTGATTTCTTTGTCCATTGCGATTCCAACGTGCTGATGTATTTTTTTGTCGGGAAATAGATTCATTGTTGTCATTAATGGATATTTTGGATGATTCTCGCATTGGTACACCTTTACAGAAAGACGGATAACTAGAGGAACCAGTTCTTCGCCAGTCATATCTGAAATGATTCATAGTACTCAACAAAGATTAATGGATGTCTAGAAAGAGGACGTATGTTAAATTGTATTAAATTTGTGTAATTCCAGTCAATTTCGTGTGTTGCAGATAATTGGTTATTTTCTCATTATTGGATTATTATTTACTTGTTAAAGTAAAAGAAGGGCGTATTTTACACCAGCAGATTTCTTTAATTATTAATATAAATAATAATTTGGTTTAAGATTTTTTTAAGTATTAGGAAATGTATTATACGTAGTAATAAAATGTAGTAATAAAATAATTAAATATTAAATGTAGTAATATGCGCTCTTCTTTTAATTATTCATTCAATTAATATTCTCTGCAGGAATTTTGGTCAATAATTTTTTAAGAAAATTCAGATTAGTGATGTAGTATTTTTTAATTATAGTAACGAGAATTGATAATATAAGAAAAGCACCTGAGAATGTACCTAATGGATGCTCGTGTACTTTGTGTTTTGTCGAGATCTATGCTGTCGGTTGGTGGACTTGTTGACAATCTTCGAGGTCGAAATGGGCATCTCTGTTGAAATTCTCGTTTGAATTTTTCCTATAATGATTCTTAAATGATGACAATAGCTATGTCTGTAAATTAATTATCTATAATATCAATTAATGACTTACGTTGTATATACCATAAACGAATGGATTGCAGCAACTATTTGACATAGCTAGCCAATCGCAACAGAACCATATAATGTTTATGTATTGATACCTGCAATAAGCTTTATTTTATTACAAATATGTATATTCATGTAAGTGTATAGAAATTAGTTCAATTTTAATTGCAATTTACTTACTGATTTATTTTTGGGTAAGTGTATTGCAATACGTTGTACGATTGTAATGGTAACCAGCACATCGCAAACAATACGACAACAATTACCAACATTTTGATAACCTATTTTTATTAAAATAAAAAAAAAAATATTTTTATATGAAATGAAATTATATTTTTCAATTGTTTCTTTTTTTAAATACTAATTAGACGGTCGGTAATGTTCCATACTGTATCGATAATGTAATAAATCTTTTTTATCTTGAGAGTTTTAGAAATCTGTTTTATCAATTCATTGTTCTTATTAACGATATTATCGACGAAGTATGGAGCGTTGCCTATTTCCAGGCACGATACTCAACAGATAATTGCAATAAAAAGACTAATTAATTGGATTACATAACAAATTTCCAAGTAATTCGATATTTCATATTGCATATCAAAGGTATAATTATACCTTCTTTTTATTTTTCATGAAAGTAGCATCACGCGAATCTTCTGCGTTTCCAGGTGCTTTGCTACCCCAAAGTGTTCTAGCCATTCTAGCATACACGACGGATATTATTAAGAGAGGCGTCATGTATTGTAAGAAAACCAATAAAGCTCGATATGTTAGCATCGAATTTGCTGACATGTTTTCATTATGACAGAATGGTTTTGTGTATGTACGTCCACCTGAAAATACTTGAATTAGATGTCAATACAATGTCATCAAATAAATACAATTTTTTCTATTCGACAGTATTTATCACTTTTATCTAATTTTTTTTTATTAATTTAAAATCAGAAAATATAATCTCTTTATTTTTCTCTTTCGTTCGAAATATAGACACTGTCTGATAGAAAATCGATAAATATCTTGTGAAATTTCTTTAGAATGTATAGATATCAAAGTTTTTTTTGCTTTATTTCTATATAAAAAAATCATATTTTTGATTTTAGATTAAAATGGCACCAAAGAAAGGTAGACTATGATACGTTCGCAGTACCCATTACAATGATATTAGGGCTAACTTGATACTATTAAATAGGGTTTCAAGGGTAACGCAATATGATACTCTATCGGTAGTATAGAATACCTGTCAAACTCTTCCTTGTGTTAGAGTTTCTTTCGTATTACTTATATTATGTTCTTTGTACGTTTTCATTTCATTGTGAATTAGAAATTTCTAATCATGCATACGTATCATATTAAATTTTAATCAAATGTATTTTCTATGTCAATATCTTTTATTATTTTTTTCTCTTTCTCATTATTATATTTTATTTCTATGTTATTATCTCTCTTTTACTTTATTTTGTTATTTTGATTATATATTTACGAGCTTATACGAAAATGTATTTCACAAAAAGCGCAGACAAGTTTATTAATAATCATGTTAGACGTTGTGTAGCCTTATCAAAAGATCATTTCGTAATTAAGATAGAGATAGACAGATAGATGAATAAATAAAGAGAAAGGGAGAGAAAAGATGAGAAAGAGGTGCGGTAACTGTGAACTATATACATATATACATACTGTAGATTCATTGACGTTTCCTACCTATAAAAGGTGGAGTTAGGTTTTACGAGTGATATTCATGGCATACGTTTCTTTTTTTAATAGATTCTAAATGAATAGAAAGAAAGAATATTGCTTTTAAGAGACGATTAACGCGGGTTATAACGGCAAAGATATTTTTAAGAGTTTGATCAAATATTTGAGCTTCCTTTTTATTTTACTTGTTCATTTTTGTTAAAAAGTAAAAAGAATCTAATACTCGATGAAGTTGGTTAAATGGATAATTTTCGGTAATTTTACTTTGAAGTTTCTTAACCTACAATTAATATTAATTCAAATCTCAATTTATAAAGGAAATAGAACTGTTCTCCTATTGTATTTGCGTTCGGTGCTGTTTTAAGAGCTTAATGGGTTTGCAATGTTCATTACCTGTTACAGCAATTCTAATAATGTATTCTGTTTTAGCTTTGATTATACATTTCTTGTTAACTTACATGTTGTTAAACTATATAAATTCATAAGGCAAGATCTTTTAATCGTCTTTTAAAAGAAAAAATTTTTTGCATTTTCAAGAAAATATCTCTCTCTCTGTTTTTTTCTCTTGGTTTTCGACGAGCGATTGGTCGATAAATCGAATGGGAACACTGTAACAGTAATGTACATATGTACTTAGACTCTTTGAGGTTGTCGAGGATTCGAGTAATGATCGATTGTCCTCTTGTAAATTGGTTGGATTAGTAGAAAGTTATTATGATTGAGGAATGCATATATTCGATATCTAATTTGTTTTGTTTCCATGACCATTTCCTCAATGATCATCCTTTTTTCTTTTATTTCTTTTAGTCAAACCAATATAAAATGACTAGTTCTGATTGTTCATTAGCTATAAATTAACTTGTATACTAGGATCGATAATCCGGATGTTATTTTTAGGAAGAGGGAATCGTGTGCATCCAACGCCAGATGGACTCTCGTTAACTCATGGGGGAAAATAAGTTTAAAATTGGAATGGAATACAAATAAACAGTTAACTTATGTGTAGCATTGGGATGATAGTGGTTTTTTTCATACATTTTGAATTTTTTTCAAATTGTTTTTTCAGGACATTTGCGGAACCTTTCATGTCGCGATATCTCAGTGCATATTCGATGCAAGACCTATTCAAAGTTTACAACGAGCATTAAAGAAAAATCATCTGCAACCTAAATCGCATATAGCACTGCTATTTTATTGAGGCCAATCAAACCGTCAACATTTGTTTGTTATTGTTTTGAGAAACCTGAATCGATGTTTGCGTTGATCTCGTTAATTTTCGATCAATAGAGTAAAATTAAAATAAAATGCAAATTTTTCTTACTAATCAACGTCTCTTCTATTATAATCACCCTGAGTGCAAGTGCCATTGGTATCGCTAAAGCTGTTGCCAGTATCCAGATTCCAGCTATGATAATTCTTGCTCTTAGTTTTGTCGGACTGGCGCTGCAAATAATTAGGGTGATTATTTTACTAATCAAAAAGAATGTTTATAACTGGAGAACGTCAAAATTGAATAGGTTTTTTTGTTTTTTAATTACACGAATATAATTTTTATTTAATTTGTGAAAGTTTTACTCCTTTTAGTAAAATTATTAAGAGAAGAAATGTCACACTTACAAACAGTTATTGAAAAAAATATATATGTATAAAGTAACACATAATATATATCATATAAAATAATAGAAATTATAAAAATAATTTCTGAGAAAGTTGTCGATACAAACGAGATTACCTGCGCGTTATCTTCCCAACAAACTTTGTTTAACTTTTGCGGCCCGATCGAGTGCATCATCCTAACGAGTTTAACAGCGAGATAACCGAGTTTTGTTTAATCGATTTTTCATTGTAGTTTTCTGTTTTATTTAATTTTATCAATTATTTTTTTCCTATAATATAAATCTTTTACGTATCGACATTAATGGTTTTCTGGAAAATCGTTTTCTCGACAAAAAACGCAACTTTTTACATAAAATTTTATTGTATCCTATTTTTTCGTTATATATTTCCTATTAATCATTTTTTATCTTTTTAATCTTAATTAGAAAGGAAGATCAGAAGACCTTTTGTAGTTGTTCTTATCTTCACATAAAATGATTAAAAACATTATTCTATAAGAAGAAACAAAATTAATGTAGGCATTCCGTAAGAAAATAAAAACTTTTCTAAAGACGACACCACACGTGTAGATATTAATCGTTTCTGGTGTATAAACGTCTATTGTTGACCTTTAGTTTTGATAATATCTCACCTGAGTGGCTTGAGAATGGCACGATGTCTATCAATCGCGATCGCTGTGAGAGTAAACACCGACACGTTCACGCAAAGTACACGAACGAAGGGACAGAAGGCGCACATAAAGTGCGGAAGGTTCCACCTTTGTAACAAGGCCGCTTGAAACTTTGAATCAGAAAAAGGATAATAATAATAATAATAATAATAATAATAATGAATATGTAAAATACTTGGTGTCCCAAGAGTCGCTTTACCGAAGAAAGGATAAAACGATATAAAAAATTAATATTGGCTTAATTGAATAAAATTAAAATATTCTGTTTTTCATTTTAAGATATGAATCACCGGTTAGAGTAATGGTTCTTAACCGATGTTCCACGGAACACTGGTGTTCCGCGGACTTGTTACAAGTTTTCTGCGAAATTTTATGAAAGTTCTAATGTATATTATACCTAATTAGTAAATGTGCAGCAAGCTCAAGTAAATAAGCTCAGATATCGCACTAAAATTGACGAAATACAATTTTAGAAAAGAATTAAAAGTTAAAGTTTTTACTAATATAATATTTTTAAATTAATGTTTTCTTTTTTTATTTTCTTTTTTTATAATTATTTATTATCTTTATAATATCTATAATTAAATGTTATATATGTTATATTATATTATGTTATGTATAATGAATAATCTATAACTTCCAATATTAATAAAAGTTAAATGTTAACGAACATTTTTTTGTTAGTTTTATGATTTTAATCGTCTTAATGATTTTGGTGTTACGCAAATTTTCCTTCCAATCAAAAATGTTCCGTGACTTTGAAAAGGTTAAGAACCAATGAGTTAGAGTGTTGTTACAAAAATTTGTACTTACGATTACGTTATCAATTTAAATATTAATATTCCAGTTTAGTAAAGCAACTTTGTGGGACATCTTGTATAATATTGTGTTAATATTTTAATTACCTGGAATGGTATGACAAATAGACCGATAATAATATCAGCTAAAGCGAGATTGGCGATAAAGAAATTCGTCATATTTTGCATTCGTCGTGTGGTTGTGACGATCCACATTACAAGAGAATTTCCAGCGATCGCCATGACGGATATACTTCCGTAACAAATACTGAGTAAGACCGTCACGCTCGTCGGCACTTCGTATAGGTCTTCTAGAAACGAATAAATCAACGATTATCACAAGTATGATAACTGTCTCTAATATGGAACACCTGATTTTAAAAGCCTGTCAAACACTGTGATATGTCTTTTTTTTTATTGTTGTTCAGTAAAACTTGCGTTAAAATATGAAAAAATTAATAAATTTTCTTATGTTAATAGTTAACTTTGTTTAAGTATCTTGAAATTATGATAAAAAAAATGTTAAATGATAAATTATGCATAGGTAAGATTTTCAAACTTAGTTCCATTTAAAAATGGAAAAAAACTACTTAACTTGTCTGCTAAAAACTTTTAAAAATCGTCCAATGCAATTATGATTTGTTTTTAATGAAAGACTTTTAAAAAAGTTCAAATGTTAATACGATCGTTTTCTATAAAATAAATAAAGTATTTCGCATAGTTATCGATAGATTATTATTTTTGTTTGCTCTAAGATATTGCGGTTATCCATATTACGTAATGTTTCATATTAAAGACAGTTATTCTATAGAGTTTGTTGGAATTATTATATGATATAGGAGCAAAAATTATTCCGTTTTTAGTTCTTCATTTAATTTATTTTTGTCCGAAAGATAAAGAGTATTGGATGGAGACTGTTATTTTATATATTTGTTGTTGTGTTATATATTTTTTGTAGCTCCTGCTTTCAAAGTTCAATTTTTTAGCCTTGTTTAGCAACCGTAAAGTCGCATATTTCCGTGATGGTGGTAACTAT